CCTATCCTTTGTAAGGTGACGGGTGCCATGGGAGAGGCAATGTCCCAAGAAGACCACTGAGGGCCGGCACCATTGGAGTTTAGATTGCAGCCTGCCTCAGCGAGGAAACAGAGGAGATCTTCTGAGACTCGTTCAGCAGTTTGGAGATCATCAGCACAGAGGAGGAGGTCATCAACATATTGGAGCAACACCACATCAGTGTGTGTCTTTTGCCAGGGTTCCAGGACTAGTGACATAGCATGGGCAAACTGGGTAGGTGAATTCTGAGCACCTTGGGGCATAACAGTCCAAGTATATTGTTGGCCCTCATGTGTGAAAGCAAAAAGATATTGGCAAGCTGGGTCCAGAGGAACACTGAAAAAGGCATTAGCAAGGTCCACAACTGTGAAAACTGTGGCAGAGGGTGGAACCTGTGACAGTAATGTGTGGGGGTTTGGAACAACAGCTGAGTCTTTGACAGTAACATCATTAACAGTACGTAGGTCTTGAACCATTCGGTACTGGTCAGGCTGACCCTTTTCAGTCTTTTTCTTGACAGGAAACAAAGGGGTATTGCATGGTGATGTACATTTGACAAGGGCCCCTTTGGCTAGGAGGCTTTCCACTTGTTTGGAGATGGCGGAGGCTTGAGCAGGTTTCAGGGGGTACTGGGGCCTTCTGGGAGGGGTAACCCCGGGCAAGAGCGAGACCACAACAGGAGGAACTTTGAGGCGGCCAATATCATCATGGCCAGTAGACCAGAGCTTGATGGGGATCCTGTCCAGAGCACTGGGGGCATGAGGGACCCTTGTTTCCCCTGCAGGAGATTCTAAGTGTAACAGTAACGGGAGGGAGCAAAGCGCTGAAGTATCCTTTCGTGATAAAGGTGTGTTTAATTGAACTTGGCCATCTGCAGTAAAGGTAATAGATGCTTGGAGACGGGACAGAACATCAGCACCCAAGAGGTTAATGGGGCAGGTAGAGGAAACAACAAATCGGGACAGAATGTCAGAACCCACACGGAGGAGCTTAGTGAGGGGGTTACTGCGGGGAGTACCATCAACACCAACGCAAGAGACATCGATGTCAGACAAAAAGGAGGGATCAGGCAGGTCTTGTTCTCTGAGAACACTACGGGCTGCACCTGTGTCAACTAAGAAAGTAGTGGGGTGACCCTCAACGGGAAGAACTACAGTAGCTAGGGGCCCTCCCTCATCCCCTGAAGACACTGCCATAACAGGGACACACAGGCTTGCCGATTACCTATTGCAACAAGTCTAAATGGGACTGATCTGGGCCGGTATAACGGCGTGCAGAGGTTGATGGAGGCGTGGGCCTAACAGGGGTTGATCTCTGGTGGGTCTCCTCCACATCGGGGGCTGGAACATGGGGGCTGGTCTCAGCGGGTAGTGGGTAACTCGGGAATACTCAGGAGGAGGGAAATAGGGGGCTGGGGGAGGTGAGGGGAACCTAGAGTAACCAGGTATGGGGTAACCATGGGCAGCAGAGGGAGGACCGGGGTATCGAGGAGGCGATGGTCTACTGTATCTAGGGAGCGGGCAATCCCTGCGGAAATGGCCAGGTTGGTGACAATTGTAACAAGTTCTGGCAGTAGGGAATTGAGCACGGTTGAGGGTAGGCGCAGTTGGGAATGTATGGAAACCGGAGACTGCTGGCACTGACCCTGAGGCTACAGTGGGAGCATTAAACATCACTGGGTTAGACCTTCTCTGTGTAGGTTGCACCACTGACTCTAACCCTTTAGCAACTAGTAGAAGAGTGTCTAGAGGAATGATACGATACTCGGGGCGGGAAAGGATTAAACCCTTATGAATGGATTCCCTCAAACCAGATACAAAAGCAGCAGACAACATCTGAGTATGAGCTTTATTGTAAGTACTGAACCCTAAGTCAGAGAAGGTTTGTGTAAGGCGTGAGTGAAATTTCTCCACTGACTCAAGCTTTTCTTGAACAATGTCTGTAATACAAGTAGCCTGGTCTGCTAGTTTATCCTGTGCCCAAGCGCGGAGCTGTTCACAAAAGGTAATACCAGACTGGAAATCTGTATCTGTGGTAAGTGAAGCATCGGTAAAACTTCTCTCCATAATAGGCCAATAGGCATCACCTGCTTTGATTTCACATAAACTATAAAGATCCCGCCAAGCTGCGGAGTATGTTTTATGAATTTGAGCCATTCTGCGGTAAAAGGGCATGGGTTGCTTCTCAGGATCAGGAAGAGAAGTGACAAGAGTGGCGGCCTGTGAGGGGTTAAAAGTGACATACATGGGAGGGGCCCCAGTGGCGGGAGCGGGGACATGGAGGTGCATCCGTGTTGCAGGTTGTGTCAGGGACCTGTTACCCAGGGGTGGGGATAGGCCATTTCCATCAGGGTCATCGTCACATGGAGCGACATGGTCGTCCTGGTGTGAGGCGGCGCCCAGGGAAATCGGACCGGGAACAGCAGGGGTGATGGGAGTCTGAGGAGCAAGCGACACGTTGTGGGAACTGCCCAGCTGTGACGTTGTGGGGTGGTAACCTGAGGCCGCGGGAGAAACGCCCACGGCATGGGGTTTGGCTGACGTAGCAGGTTCCTCAGAACCAACCACCATGAGGGGAAAGGCGGGGCTTGGGTTAGGAGCTATCTGGGTGGGTGTAGGGGCCGGGTCAGAGGGGGTGACGTGAGACTGGGCGGGTGATTGGATCAACGTAGAGAGGGCGGAGAGGAGGGGAGACAGCTCAGTACGGAGAGAAGCCGGAAGAGAAGGTGGATCCATAATAGGGGAGGATTCAGGAAGTGAGGGAGGGGGAGGAGGAGGAGGCTCGAGGGCAGCGGAAAGGGCTGTGAGGAGGGAAGACACTAGGTTATTAGGGGAACTGGAAGCATTAGTAACAGGGTTAGGGAAGGAAGCGGAAGGGGTTACTGTAGGGGTCAGGTCCAGGGGAGTGTCGGAAGTGACGGGGGTCGGGAGCTGTGGGGTGGGATCGTGGTCTGACGTGGGAAAGACAGAAGGTGGGACAACAGGAGTGGGAGGTGTCTGGGGGCGGGGTTGTGAACAGGGAGGTAACGAGGGAGGTAACAGAGACTGGGATTGGGTTTGGTAACCAGGCTGGGGCGGGACTGACATTAGGCTCTGGGGAGGGGTCGGATCTGGGGAAGAGAACGGCCGTGCCAAAGGGGCGTGGGGAAAAGGATGCGATGGCAATGGGTAGTAATAGGTACCATCAGCTCCAAGCACGGGGCACAAAGGGGTGGGACCATGTGTGACGCCACCAGGAGGTGACGTCTGTGCATGGATTGGGGAAGATGGGCGGGTGCTGCTCGGTATGGTCTGGGCGCCATCATAGGGCGGTGGCCGGGGATGGTCAGTAGAAACATTAGAATCACAAAATGTCCCTCAAACTCAAGCTCTTCCTCCGTCCAACCCTCCCGCTTTAATCCCCTAGCTACTCGATACCAAGCCTCCACTGCTTTGGTTAACCCATTATCAGACAATAACCCCTCCTTATCCACAAGCAACTTCTCTCTTTCACAATATCACAAGCTAGCAGTCCCTTAGCTGGTCTAGCATGTTCCTGCCCCATCTTGACCAAGCGTGGTCTACCAAGTAGAGGGGAGCGAGTGAGAGGGAAGAAAAAGTAAGAAAGTCTACAGTGCTCGACTGCCACGGAGGACCCGTGCATCTTCCCAAAACGTAGACTAGTCACGATGGTCTGTACACCCGGGGGTGGTGGCCACAGACCGGAGGGTGCGAGCGTGGGTGACTAACACAGCTCTGGGCAACAAAGACAGGACAGATACAGAATGAGGGAGAAGGTGAAGGTAGCAACACTAAGTACTAGACATTTGCAAAAATCACAGATATAAAAATGAGTGTACACTCCGGAGTCAAGAACAAACCATACAACACACACACAAACACCAAGGGTACCCACACTGTAGCAACAATTGAACAAAATCCACAAAATAACAGAGAGCAATATGGCCATGTACATAATCAAACAATGCAATATAAATCAAATAACATTCCCAGCCCCTTATTCCAGGCTGTCAAAAAAATTCCCCAACCCGATTTCACGGGTGGTCCCCAGCGCTGTCACAATTCCCCAACCCTCTACAAGGGTGGTCCCCAGTCCTTTACCGGCTGTCGCGTTCCCTGCCCGCTAGGCAGTCAAGCTTAAGATTTTTAAAAGAAACACACACACCGGCCGTCACTCACACACACATGAGCACTCAGGAGGCAGATATACAATCGACAGGTCCGTTAAAAAGAGCACCGGATAAGATATTACCTGTCTAGTAGCCTTCTGATGCCGGAAGGACGCGGAGACAGACCGACACAAAGCAGGAGTATACAGACAACGGCTGTATGGTGGAGGTGATCAGGCTCCGGGTGTCCCACTTTCCGGAGGTCCGCTCCGGTCCGTTGCTTTCCGGCCCTCCGAGCCGGCAAATCCGGTGCCCCACGTTGGGCGCCAATTGAAGTGGAAATCAACTCAAATCGATTGATTATTCTTTGTGTATCTGCCCCTGACCAAATTAATGAAACAGTACGTGCACGCTCCCTGAAGTAATTCACACCAGACACAAGTTTCTTTTTTTTGTCATTCAATTTGCTTTTATTGACATCATAACAATTGGCAATACAAAGTTATATGCCTCAATACAGAAGGTGGCAAAAATAGTGTACATGTCAGTTGTTGTTCATTTGGTATAAAGGTATCGTTAGTATTTATGTGAAGCGAGCAATTTTACAAAGCAATAGCGAGCATCTGATTCCATTCCTACATTGCAACATCTTTCAGCATTGACAGTTTTCAAGAAGGAACTAGTCTTAGAAAAATAGAAAGAGAATATTTTCACCATTCTCACAAGTTTTAGACATGAAAGCTATAGAGAACACTCAGATTCAGTCATTTTATTAATTGGTATGTTTGTGTTGGGAAGCAGATAAACTGCGATAAGGCAGAAACTTTAGTGCTCCTGCTGTGACCTTGTCTAGCCCTGCTTCCTGAGAGCGTCTCTACTGGTCCGTTGGGGTGGGGGGTAGGGAGTGGTTGTCGAGTAGTGGGGCGTTTGGGGGTCGAGGGTCCGTCAGGTAGTTTTTGTCCTGTGTGCGCGTTTGTTGTGGGTGTCCCCTTTGCGCTAGTCGCTGTTCTTTGATGTGTGTGGGCGGTGGCTGTGTGTGTGTCATGCGTCGGGGTGTAGTCTTGTTGGGGTGTCCCTTCTGTGTTGGTGTCCTTCTGTGTCTGTTTGGGGATCCTATTAGTGTCGGGGGTGTGTTGGTCGAGCGGGTGCTGTCCCGGGTTGTGAGGGTTAGGTGGGTTCTGGTATCGTGGTGTAGTGCACTTGGGTATTGGGCTTTTGGACAGTCTTGTTGGGTTGGTTCATCCCTTGTCCGATATGTGTTGGTCATGGTGGGTCTTTGTGGGTGCTGTGGTGTATGGTCTGTCCTGTAAGGGAGGTGGCGTTTCTGCGAGTGTAGGTGGCATTCTCAAGGCAGCCTGTCGGCAGTTGGCCATGTATTTTAACGTGTGTTGTGGGGGGCGGGTGGGATGGGAGTGTAGGTTAATGGGGTGAGGGCATTGCAGGTGAGGGTAAGGTGCGGGAGGGTAGGGGGTGGGGTGTCAGGTCCCGGGTCCCCACCTCAACCCCCCCCGCCTCCGGGGCAAGGGGCATCTCCGGCTCTGAGTGGTCGTCTTGGTTTGGTTGGGTCGGTGGTTCAGCTTCCGTATTGTCGTCCGTCTGTTCCGTCTGGACCGTCCCATCTGCCTCTGCTGTCAGGTGTTGTGTGGTCCCCGTAATTGGTGCGGTGGAGGCGAGCCATTGGAGCCAGTGGTACCATGCATCATGGTAACGTTGTATGCGTCCCGTTGCAGAGTGGATGAGTTCTTCGATGCGTCTGATGTCTTCCACTCTCGTTATCCATTCTCTGATAGTCGGGGCCATGTGTTGTTTCCAGTGTCTCGGGATGAGGCTGCGGGCTGCGTTTATTAGGTGTGGGAGTGCTGTTTTTTTAAATTTGTTGATTGGGGTCTGTGTAAGTTGGAGCAGGTATGTGTCTGGTGAGAGGGGTAGGTTTGCTTCTGTTATGGTTGTGAGTATCTTGTGGATCTCTGCCCAAAAGGGCTGGATAAGGGGGCAGGACCACCATATGTGGAAGAGGGATCCCAGTTCTCTCCCGCATCTCCAGCATTCCGGGTCATTTGTGGTTTTCATCATGCTAAGTTTTTCCGGTGTCCTGTACCAGTGGGAGAGCATTTTATATCCTGTTTCTTGGAATTTGGTGGAGACGGAGGCTTTATGTGTGAGTGTAAATACCGTTGTCCATTGTTCCGTTGAAATTGAGTGTCCTAGATCCCTTTCCCAGTATTTTGTGAAGTAAGGGAGGGGTGCGTTAGTGGTGGTGGTGGTTTGCATGCGATATAGTAGCGATATCGCGTGTGGGGGGGGGGTTCATGCATATGGTCTCGAATACAGAGAGTGTTCGCGTTGCCGAATTTAGGGTCGGTATGCTTCTCAGAAACCTTGTCAGTTGGTGATATCTAAAGCGTAGGAGCATATTGTGTGGGGTATTCGGGACCAGAGTGGTCAGGGGCATGATTGTGCCTTGGTCATAGACGTCCTTCACTCTGCAGGGGGTCGGCAGGCCCAGGGCAGCCGTGTAGTGGGGGTCCGATGCAGGGGCAAATTTAGGGTTGTGAGATATGGGGCATAATGGTGAGAGCTCCGGGGCTACGTCTGTGTGAGTCACCAGTCTCCTCCAAACTGCCATTGTAGCGTTTAGGGTTGGGTGGTTCCGTGGCAGTTCCCCGGCCATGGATTTCGGTAGCCAGGGTAGAAGTGTCAGGGGTATCCGTGAGAAGCTGGCCTCTATGGGGATCCATAGCTTGTCTTTCGGGTCTTGTGTCCATTCTATCACTCGCTGGAGGTGTATAGCATGTCTATATTTTGTGATATCGGGTAGTCCCAGGCCTCCCTGTAGTTTGGGTCTGGTGAGGGTGGCGAAATTCAGCCTCGGCGTTTTGCGGGCCCAGACGTAGGCCATCAGTGTTTTACGGGTTTGTGTTAGGAAGGTTTTGGGAATGTGGATTGGTAGGGTTTGTAGGAGATACAAGATTCGGGGGAGGATATTCATTTTGAGGACACTGATCCTACCCAGCCACGTTATGTGCGGGAGTTGCCACGAGTCGAGGTCCTTCTGTATGCGGTCGAGGAGGGGTGGGAAGTTGATGCGGTAGGTGTCCGACACATCAGCCGACAGCCAGATCCCTAAGTATTTAATCCTTTCTTTGCACCAGTGAAAAGGGAACTCTGTTTGCAGTGTAGTTGTTAGTGCTAGGGGGCAGTTTACGTTGAGAATTTCAGATTTCGTAAAGTAAATTTTCAAGTTGGAGAGGGTGCCATATAGGTCAAATTGGTGCGTGAGCTCCCTAAGTGAGGTTGCCGGGTTGGTGATTGTGAAGAGGAGGTCGTCCGCGTATGCAGAGACCTTGGTGGCTCCCCAGCTACCCTCGATTCCAGTTATGCGGGGTTGGGCTCGAACTGCATTGAGGAATGGTTCTAATCTGATGGCAAAGAGTAGGGGCGATAGGGGACACCCTTGTCTAGTGCCGTTTCTGATCTCAAATGGGTCGGAGAGAATCCCATTAACCTGCACCCGGGCTGCTGGAGCGGTGTATAGGGCCCAAATGCGCGTCATCATGTGGGGTCCCAGTCCCAGGTGTTCCAGGGTGGACCTCAGGAAAGACCAGTCTACCCTGTCGAACGCCTTCTCCGCGTCGGTCGAGACTATCAGGGCGGGGGAGTGTCCTTCTCGGGCCGCGTGGAGAAGATTGAGTGTCTTGATAGTGTTGTCCCTGGCCTCCCGGCCCTCCACAAAGCCCACCTGATCAGGGTGGATAAGGCTCGGCATCAGGGGCTGGAGGCGCAGGGATAGTATTTTGGCAAACAGTTTGAGGTCGGCGTTCAACAGGGAGATCGGCCTGTAACTGGTACATGAGGAGGGGTCTTTTCCTTCTTTCGGGAGTACTACGACGTGTGCTAGGAGCATGTTGGGGTCTAAGGGGTCTCCGTTATGTATTGAGTTGAATAGTGTAAGTAGGTGTGGGACAAGGTTGTCTGCGAACATTTTGTAGTACTTTGCCGTGTATCCATCTGGTCCGGGGCTTTTCCCCAGTTTGGCCAGTTTGATGGCTAGGCGTATCTCCGCTTCAGTGATATCTTCTTCTAGTGTAGCTATTTCTTGGGGTGTCAGCGTTGTGGTGATATTCTGTTCGATATATGTTTTTTGCCGCGCTGTGTGGGCCTCTTCTCCTTCGTGTGCGCGTGTGGTGTTGGGAGGTAGGCAGTATAGGGAGGAGTAGTATTGTCTGAAGCCCTCTGCTATAGCCTTCGGGGTCCGCAGTGTGTTTCCTGCCAGGGAGATCTTTTGAACATGGGTTTTCTGTCTCCGGGCTCTCAGCGCCCTAGCAAGCAGTTTACCACTTTTGTTTCCGTATTCATAAAACGTTTTTTGTGTGAGTTGGAACTGGAATCGTATTTTGGACGTGAGGCAGGAGTTGAGTTTCGCTCTGGTCTCTAGGAGTTGTTTGTAGGTTTCGTCTCGGAGGTCTTGTTTGTGGAGCGTTTCTAGACGCGCCAGTTGGGCAGCAAGGCGTGCTATTTCCTGTGTGCGTTGTTTTTTCAGGCGAGTGCCGTGTTTGATGAGGATCCCTCGGATAGTGCATTTGTGTGCTTCCCAGACGGTCGTTGGTGCGCTTTCTGTTGTTTGATTGGTGGGGAAGAAGTGGTCTAGTGTGTTCCTAATTTCTGTTTGGATCAGTGGGTCCTCTAAGAGTGATTCATTAAGTTTCCATGTCCATTGGGATCGAAAGGTTCTAGGATTGTCGATGGTGAGTGTTACTGGTGCGTGGTCCGACCAGGTCATGGGGGCGATGTGAGCTGAACACAGTGTGTCTAGATCCCTGTGTTGGATGAAGAAGTAGTCAATCCTCGAGTATGATTTATGTGGCGCTGAATAATAGGTGTAGTCTTTCTCTGTATGGTGTAGGATTCGCCAGCAGTCTACAAGTTGGTGAGTTGTCAAAAGGGTCCGCAGTCCTCTGAGGATGTGGTCCGGGATCGTGGAGCCCCCTTTAGATGTGTCCATTTTGGGGTCTAGAGGGGCGTTGAGGTCCCCTCCTATTATTACGGTTCCTGCACTGAACGCTTCCAATTTTCTCAGGGCTGAGGCTAGGAATGGTTTTTGGCCTTTGTTTGGGAGGTAGAGGTTCGCGAGTGTGATTTGAGCGTCCCCTATGTGTCCTTTGAGAAAAAGGTATCTGCCTTCTCGGTCTTTCTCTTCTGCTTCCAGGCGGAACTGGGTGTCTGCCGAGAATAATATAGCCACTCCCTTAGATTTGGTGGAGGGGTTATGCGCGTAGTAGCCGGTTGGGAAGTATTTATCTGAGAATTTGGGGGCTTTTGTTGCTAGAAAGTGTGTTTCTTGGAAGAAAGCTATTGATATCTTAAGTGCTCGAATTTCTCGCAGCGCTCTTGCTCGTTTTTGTGGGGAGTTCAGGCCCTTCGCGTTGATTGTGTAGAGGTTAATTCCTATCTCTGCGTGCCCGGGGGCGTGGGGGGCGAGAGGCGGTGGGCCCATCGTATCCAGGTGGCGGGGTGTGGAGTAGGGGAGGAAAAAGGGGGGGGGAGATGGAAGGGGAGGTTAGATGGGTTTGAGGGGGTAGTTCAAGCGGTGTGGTGTGTAGCGGTTGTGTCAAGTCGCAGAGGCGACTGTTGTAAGGGGTAATGTGCCACTGGTAGGTGTGTGTCCGGGAACCAGGGTCCTCGTAGTCACCTCACAGTCTCTTGGCAGTGAACCCGTGGGGCGGGTGGCGTCGGTGGTTAGGTAGGTCACCTACTTTGGGGTGTCGTCTAGTGACGTATCACTGTCTGTCAGCATCCGTCTCCTGCTGCCTAATAGTGGTGGTGTCTGGCATCCAGAGGGGTAGTACCGTTCTAGCGGATCAGTTAACAACAATGTGGATGGTCGTGATGGTCGCCCCTGGGTGTTATCTTGTTATCGTTGCGCTATTGTGTCGGGAGCGTGCATACGGATATAAGAACAGTATTCGTGAGAACAACATAATAACAGCATATCAAAACATGGTTACACAAATTATATCCCAGTATCAGGGAGAACATCAGAAACTTTTATGAACATTTAAAGATGGTTTGGGTGTGTTCGCACAGCACAGGGGGCCCCTCATGGAATAGAATGAGGTTTGCACCCCGTGGTGCGCCGTCACCCCACACCTTTTATATAACAGGGTAGGAGGAGGAGGGCAAAAAGTAAGGGGGGGAGGGGGGGAAGGGGTTCAGGAAAACAAAAACACACCCCCAACAATACACTCAATACACTTTGTTGGAACCAGTGAGCGCAGGTGTCTCCGTCGCCCGGTGGGAACCTCTCGGTTGTTCACAGGGGGCGAGGCAGAGTCGCTCTCAACAGTAATTCGGATGTACACAATTATGAGTCTGCTTGAGGAACACGGAGCATTCATCTTACGGTATGTAGTGGTTGGTGAGTGATGCGTTCCCCCCTTCTAGCGTGTTCGTGGTGTCTGAGGTGTGTTTCTGTTGGACGCCTCAGAGGTGCGTTTGATACCTGGTTGCCTGTGTTGCAGGTATGGCCTGTGTGTATGTCTGCGGTTTGATTAGATAGTGAGGGTGTCTGGGTGCATCTTGGGTGTATTTGGGGGGGTTCCCTTCCTGGTGTAGCGGATGTGTGTGTGTATGTGTGTGTGTGGGTGAGTGTTAGTGTCAAGGTGTGTAAGCTAGCCCGCAAGGTATACTTGCACTTGCGATTCGTTCTACGGTGGTGGAGGCCGTGGCCAGCAGTCCAGGGTGATGCCAGGGTGTCAGTTCAAGGCATCATGTCAGTGGTCGTCTCTATAGGGTGTTTGGAGCTTGGCGGGTGTGGGTCTATGTCCCGCATTGTGGGGCAAAGGAGTCTTGTGTGGAGCCGGCCAAGATATTGGTGCACTGGCGAGTCCTCTGGGGTTGTCTCTGTTGAGTTAGTAGCGTTCTTGGTGGTGTTGAGCAAGTCATGGACTCGGGGGGCAATGGATGTAGGCCCAGTTAGCCGGTGAAGCAAGGTGGTTCTAGGCCTTTGGGACGGTGAGATGTGGGTGGGTTACCGTTTTTGGTGGTGTCTTGGCGGCGGTGAGTCGCAATCTGCTTTCTCCCTTTGCTTTCCTGGATGCGGAGTGATAGAGAAAGAGAAAAAAAAAAAAGGAAAAAAGGGGGGGAGTAGGTGTCTCTGGAGGTGCCGTATCCCTCCTGCTCCCCTCAGCGTGGTCGTTAATGCGTTGCACGGTCGTGGTCAGGCTGGTGGTGCAGGGTGGGTGGCGGGGGGGGGTGTAGGCAGGTGGTGGTGTCTCCATCTCGTTATTCCTCAGGGTCAATTAGTCGGTGATGGGTGCGCGGGGCGTCCCTGTCGGGCCCCTGGTGGATGGTACGTTGTGTTGGCCTCCCTGTGAGGCGTTCATTAAGCGGGCATGCAGTCCAGTCCGAAATAGGGGTGCGGGGGAGGTTTAGAGCCTCCTGGAAGGCCAGTACATCTTGCGGCGTGCGAATTACTGCTTCTGTGGTGCCCTGTCTGGCTGAGAGGGCGAAAGGAAATTGCCATCTGTAGCGGATTTGGGCGTCTTGCAAGGCGGCGGTGAGGGGCCGCAAGGCTCTTCGGGCCTGTAGGGTGAGGTGGGATAGGTCATTGTAAAGTTCTATCGCCTGTCCCTCTATTCTCCAGGTTCTTTCTGTGCGTGCTTTTCTCATAATTTCTTCCTTTAGTTGGAAGTCTGGTATGTGGCAAATTAAGTCCCTGGGGGGAGCGCCCGGGGGGGGCTTGGATCTTAGTGCCCTGTGTGCCCTGTCCATGTGGATGCGGGCATCCCTGGGTCTGCCCAGTATGCGATTAAAAATCGGGGTCAGCGTGGCCCTGGCGTCTTCTGTTGTGTCAGATTCTCTGCAGCCTCTTACCCTGATGTTATGCCTGCGGCTGCGGTTATCAAGGTCCTCTATGTGGAGGCGCAGATCTTGTATGTGCCTGGAGTGGGCCTCTGTAGCTTGTATAGCAGGGCAGTGTGGGTTGGGGCCCTGTGTCTCTAGTGCCTGTACCCTTGTCTCAAGCGCTGTGAGTGAGGTGCCTAGGGCTGAGATCTCTGTGCGCAGGGTGGCTTTTACCTCATCCAGTAGTGTCTGGAAGTCCTCCTTTTTCGGCAGGGACGTGAACAGTGTGTACCAGTCTGGTGTCTGTGGGGCTTGCCGGCTGCTGTCAGTGCGCGGGTATTCCTCCGACAGCGTGGAGCTCGGGGAGGAGGGCGCCATGTTGGAGGCCTCCTCCTGGGAGAGGAAATCCCCTGGTGTGTTGAGGTAGCTGCGGATGGAGGGGTGCGAGCCGGTCCCCTGTGTTCTCGGCGTGGAGGGGGTCATCTGGGCTCTCTTGGTACGTCCCATGGGTGCCAGGTCGTGCTAGTGCGGCGTGTTTTTGCGGCTGGGAGCGGAGCTCGGGAATTAGGCGGCCATTCCTGTTCGGCGCCAAGCCACGCCCCCAGACACAAGTTTCAGGTAGTTGAATAACTTGAGGAATGTTTATTCAGAGGGGACGGCAAGTCCCTTTTAAAGCAAAATTACATCATAAGCATTGTCAGAGATAACATGGAATAATACGGTATCAATTGGTTAGGTGTTAAGTAGTTATCTTAATGCTCTGCCTACTAGAGGTGATGTCACTGAGACCACTCCCCCAGATCTCAGCGCCATCTTGTTACACGAGGTAGTTAGTCGAGGTTATAAGGAGGGAGGGGTTAGAAACTTCTAGCAGCCATTTTGTCTAAATATGCATGAATAGCTTATCTACTGATTTCAGTGCAACGGGTAAATAGACATTTTACTAACTACAAAGTTATATGTGTATATATTCATATTTTATTTCCACAACAGCGCCCTAGGCGGCTGCCTATTCCGCCTTACAAGTAGCGCCGGCCCTGATCTGGGTCACGGTGCATGTCAGCCAATCTGGGTCACGGTGCATGTCAGCCAATCTGGGTCACGGTGCATGTCAGCCAATCTGGATCACGGTGCATGTCAGCCAATCTGAGTCACGGTGCATGTCAGCCAATCTGGGTCATGGTGCATGTCAGCCAATCTGGGTCACGGTGCATGTCAGCCAATCTGGGTCACGGTGCATGTCAGCCAATCTGGATCACGGTGCATGTCAGCCAATCTGGGTCACGGTGCATGTCAGCCAATCTGGGTCACGGTGCATGTCAGCCAATCTGGGTCACGGTGCATGTCAGTCAATCTGGATCACAGTGCATGTCAGCCAATCTGGGTCACGGTGCATGTCAGTCAATCTGGATCACAGTGCATGTAAATCAATCTGGGTCACAGTGCATGTCAGCCAATCTGGGTCACAGTGCATGTCAGCCAATCTGGGTCACAGTGCATGTCAGTCAATGTCAGATTGGCTGACATGCACTGTGATCCAGATTGGCTGACATGCACTGTGACCCAGATTGGCTGACATGCACTGTGATCCAGATTGGCTGACATGCACTCATGCCAACGCTTCACCTCTGACCGCAGACAGCAGTCCAAGTCGAGGCTTGGCACGCAGCGAGCAGGGCGTGGGAGTTCTCGCGAGGTTTGCGGGTTCCGATGCGGAAGTGAGCGGCAGCAGGAGGGGCGGACGGGCTCCAGTGAGAGGAGCTGGTGCAGGGTGTAGTCCGGGCACAGACTGTGGTGTATGGACCTGGAGGGGAGAGGCGGTCAGTCGGCGCGGAGGGTGAGTGGGCTTTGATGCGGATCTCACACTCACAGCCAGGCTGTGTTCCTCCCTCCGCTCTCTAGGAAGCAGAGCTGAGCAACATGTGGTTTTAGAGGACCGTCCCTCTCCCAGGAGCACGAGTTGGCTGAGGGTGATGGGAGTTACAGGTGCTGGAGGGATAACCAGTCCCACTGTAGAGAGAGTCAGACAGGATATTAAAATGTATCAGAATATACAGACCTAGTCCAAGGATTTATTAAACTCTTCATTTTACACAGTATGCAGGAAGTGGTGACCTTTATTTATTGGTTAAAGCCTTCTCCAGTCGGTTTGTAATGCTCTGTTACAGAATGGTCAGCCACAGAGAATGTTGTGATTTATTTAATGCCCATTTCCAAATTATTTGTCATGTTATGAAGATTCGTTTTGTAACTGCAACATATGTCCCTCTTCTTTACGATTATACATCAAGGTTGTAATACTGTTTAAATTTGTTTTTTGTTTGTTTACATTAGCTATTTTCTTAGGTATATGCCTTCCCATGTTGATGAAGAGTATAGATAAAATACAGAGTTAGTTAAAATGTTAGAATTCAATATTATAAAATTATTTAATTCAATATGCTATTATGAGCCAGGATGAGGTTGGAAGATGTGTTCACCAACCTCTGTAAAGATAATATAATAGGAGCACTTTAACTGTTTTTTTGTTTGTTTTTTTTTTTTTAAAATACATCTCTGGCATATGTTTTCAGCCTGAGTGCTAACCTTCCACCAAAATCTAGAAACAAAAGTCAGAGATCCATTCTTATTCACCTTTTTCTCTTTTCAGTCCCATTTCATTTTGTTAGGTTTTTTTTTTTGCTAGCATTCCCTAGTTAAGTACCAGCTTTTCTCCCTATGTATTTTCCCTTCCTACATTTCCACAAACATAATATTACCGGAAAGTAATATTTAAATGTGTTATTAGTTTCAATATGCATATTTAATTGAAATAAAAATATGTTGGTGGGACACGATCTATAATCCTCTCACATATACACTATCCAATTTGCTGTCTGTCTCTGTCTGCTTATAGCATGACATTTCTTATACCATATCACCCTCATTGATAGATACACATACACTCACTCACACAATGACAGATATAGAAATACAATCACAGCGTGTGTATTGGTATGTGTGTGTGCATGTCTGGTAGTGTGTACTGTGTGTGGTGGTGTCTGTGCATGAACATGACTGTGACACGATTGGGGGTGGGTGAATGTGTATGAGGAGTAAGTGTGGGGGCTACTTACATGGTGGCTTAGTCAGGGGAGTGACTAGGGCGGTGTGATAATGTGTGTGTGTGAGGTGTATCTACAATTGGCAGCATGAAAGGGTTAAAGGGCCACCATAGGCACCAGAACCAGCCACCAGAGGGACTAACTGGGTTTCAGTCCTGTTATTATCTATTAAAGGAACCGCTTAATGTAGTTGTTCTGGTGAGCATAGTATGCCCCTGCATGCTTTTTTTATGTAAACGCTGATTTTTCAGAGAAAAGACAATGTTTACATTCCAGTGGCAGTCACTCAGACGGCCACTAGAAGTGCTTCCTGTGTGCTGCACAATCACTTTGTATGGAGATGCTGGACATTCCTCATAGAGATGCGTTCATTTAATGCATCTGTATGAGGACATGCTGATCGGCCAGCGCTGCGTTTGGCTCCACCTTGATCTGCCTCCTTGGCTGAGATCATCAGAATTGACTATCTCTGCCAATCCAATGCTTTCCCCTGGGAAAACATTAAAATGGCTGCGATCGTCAATTCTGGTGTCAACCAAGGAAGCAGACGGTGGAAAGGGCCATCGCTTGTTGACCCACGTGACACTTGAATAAAGGTTAGTTTTAAACTTATTTAAGGTAAGGGCGGGGGCCTAATGTGTGTTTTTAACACTATAGGGCAGTGATGAGTAACCTTGACACCATAAATTGTTTCTGGACTACATTTCCCATAATGCTCAGCCTGCTTTTAGACTCTAAAAGCTAGCTAAGCATCAATGGAAATTTAGTCCAGAAACAATTTATGGTGTCAAGGTAAGCCATCACTGCTATAGGATCAGGAATACACGTTTGTGTTCCTTTAAGCTTTATTGTTAAACTGTTAAAAGAATAACCCCCTACTATTCCAGAATCATACAAAAGGCAAAAAAATGGATAGCATATTTGAGAATGACATAACAGTATTTCAATTTTAATTCACACAAGGAGTATCTTGGTTAAAGGGACACTATAGTCACCTGAACAACTTTAGCTTAATGAAGCAGTTTTGGTGTATAGAACATGCCCCTGCAGCCTCACTGCTCACTCCTCTGCCATTTAGGAGTTCAACCCCTTTGTTTATGAACCCTAGTCACACCTCCCTGCATGTGACTTGCACAGCCTTCCATAAACACTTCCTGTAAAGAGAGCCCTATTTAGGCTTTCTTTATTGCAAGTTCTGTTTAATTAAGATTTTCTATAGCTTGCTAGACCCTGCAAGAGCCTCCTGTATGTGATTAAAGTTCAATTTAGAGATTGAGATACAATTATTTAAGGTAAATTACATCTGTTTGAAAGTGAAACCAGTTTTTTTTTTTTCATGCAGGCTCTGTCAATCATAGCCAGGGGAGGTGTGGCTAGGGCTGCACAAACAGAAACAAAGTGATTTAACTCCTAAATCGCAGTGAAATTGCAGGGGAATGATCTATACACTAAAACTGCTTTATTTAACTAAAGTAATTTAGGTGACTATGGTGTTCCTTTAAGGTTTTGATCCTCTAGTACAGAGGAATTGATCAAAATATTTAATTCCCACTGAATTACTAAAAAAAAAAAAAAGGTAGATGAGGATAAAAAGTAATGTCACACTCCCCCACCCTGCCCAAGTAAAACTTTTGTTTAAGACCAATATAATAATTGAAGTGACTAAAATATCAAATGTCTATTCTCTCCAATTTTTCTCCTTTTGTATGATTCTGGAATAGCAGAGGATTATTCTTTTAATAGTTTGTTGGCACTGAAGCTTAACAGATAATTGAGAATAACATTTATTTGAAGCTGAATATTTTTTTTTTTCTTCATACTCTAATTTGGCCTTCATTTTCTAACACCATTGTCAACTCACTAGATCAGGGGTGCCTAAAAGGTTGATCCCCAGATGTTGTAGAACTACAACTCCCATGATGCTTTGCATGCATTTAAAATGCCTTTAGAATGACAAAGCATCTTGGAAGGTGTAGTTTTAAAAGATCTGGGGGTCTACCTTTTCAGCACCTGTGCACTAGCCCATTCTGTTTAAAGCAGATTTAGACACACTCTTGTGAAGTATTAGATAGCAGAATCATATCACACAGCAATAAAAAAGCAAAAAAATTTTTTTTTTTAAATGGTCTTGTTGGGCAGAACATGAGAAAAACACGAAGAGGCAGTTTATGTTGGGTTGTCTGTCCAAGCAGGGGGGCTTTCCTGCTAGATTATTGAAGACTGCTTTTTGAGTAATTCAATAAGAAAATTCAACCAGTTACTACAAAAATAAATGGAAGATGCAGACCGTTTCTGAGGATTATTTGGCCACATACATTACATGGCTACATATATTACAATGATAACATTCCTGCGTTAACTGCTATAGGCCAGGAATTTTCAGCAGCTGCTCACGATTATTCCCACTCTTTATCCCAAGGCTGTCTAAACCAGCATCATGCAGAGCAGTGTTTCTCAAAGTATTTTTTTTTTTAAATGCCCTACATATAATCTCATCACATTTCACTAAGCATTGAAATACCTTTCTGCCCTATCAAAAGCATCCATATATATTGGATGAGAATGTCTGCTAAAGAGCATGTGTTACATGTAGTTGGATGCTGCTGCTCTTTACACCTCCCTTTGAGCTGCAGCAAGGCCCAGTTACAGCATCCTGGTATGCCTGTCAGAGATACACTCCCTGCTTGGCACCAGCTTCCCCTATGCAGCCCTAAAAGAAGAACAAACAAAAAAATCTTTCTATCCGACACCTGGAACTGCATGTCCCAGGCATTGGGCGAAATAAGTTCCACATACCTGATACAAACTGCGTGCTTTATTATACATAATTGCAATATATCATGATTACATACATGTACTACACACACACACACACTGCCTAATACATAGACAGACACACACACGCACAGACACTGCATATTACATACACATATACCTTTTTAGTATAGGAACATCCCATGGACCATAACTACTACAGCCTGTTGTAGTGGGTATGATGGCAAGAGTGCCCTGGTGCCCTTTATAGTAACTAGTCAAAACATTTAAAGGCTTTCTCCAACCCTTTTTCACACATACGGTATTTTACCATACCTAGCAAGATTGCCCCCTCCCTATAAAGTGATAAGGTTTTAACTTAAATAAAAAACCAGCGCCAGGCAAAGCCCCAGGCACTGTGCTCCGCTCCACAGCTTAAAGGGACACTCCAGTGTCACCAAGAAAAATAAAAATCACTGTTTAGTAGATACACCCCAAAGCGACAGTGACACTTTTCAGCAAGCTAACATTGTTTAGGGGTCTGTCGTGACCCTTTAATGTGAGCGGTTGCCGTAGACAGGTTACATTTTTAGTTGCGGCTACCCACCAAAGTGACATGGTGACCTATTTTGTGTTTGTGAACTATTGAGAAATTCTGGTTTAGCAAGTTTAATAGGCTAGGGCAGGAATGTCAGGAGAAGATAAAATGCTGAAACTTTAATTAAAAATCTTTATTTTACTTGTTTACCAATCACTACAAAGTTTTGATTGTATAACTTTTCAGACATCTCGCCCATCTCATCTGTACAATAGTTATTGCTAGTTTAGAATTCTGCCTTTTCGAAGGTTTTATTAGAGGATTATTAAAAACAACAGTTTATGTATAACTGCACAGTGGTCTCTGCAAGGTCTTCGTCGAATTGGAATTCAATTTTCAAGGGGGGGAAATGTCTTTTGGGTGTGTCTGTGACAGCTGCACAATACAACGATTGACTGTGTATTGTTTTCAAGCCTCTGTAGAGCTGAAAGTTTTCACAAAGAACATGGTCATCTGTATCTCTTTCAGTAAATATTTCTATGTACAATTCCCTCCTCCTCCTCACCATACACTTGTGGAGTAATAAGGCTCTTTCATAACCACAAGCTAATTTTAGCTGCATTATTCAATTTCCACTTTTTTGAACTATGTCCTGTTACACCGCTTTTATAAAACATTTGTAAATTGCTTAAGTAAATACCAATCTTGGCTTCTAGTCATTGTTTTGTAAGCACACTTGCTATAAATATACCTTTTGAATAATAAGTTGTAAACTACGGCTACATTAGGATATATGGGGTAGAAACTCATTGGCTTATTTGCTGTATAGTGTGTAGTAAGAGACTGACTTAATTCCCATTCCCTGGTTTAGTGTTTATTTTTTTCCCCTTAAAGTAATAAAATTTTTATTAAACATGATCCATGTTTTACAAGTTTTGCTTGCCATAGCATTTTCCTGAAGTTGGCTTCCTCCTCTATATATCTGCTGCAGAGGGCCTGTGTGTATCCATTTCCTCCAGCGGTGCCAAGTGTGACCTCGTGTTGTATGTTGTGGCATGTGGTACTGTAATGTGGTCCTGTTTTATAGTTTAAAAGTGATGAACTATAAACTTGCTTAGAGCACCCAAAGCGGCTCACATTTCCTAGAGTGAGCTATAGCAGCAACATTTTGTAAAAACCCTACCAGAGCTTTGTCAGGTGCCCGAAACACTTAGATGTAACATTCTCACTTTTAGGAATACAAAGCCCTCTGTGCCCGGCCAATGTAAAGGGTTAAGAAAAGGCCTTTAAACTCTTACCTGATTCCAGTGTCCATTTCCCTTGGCACTGGGTCAGGCTCCTTTTACTCAGACGTTGGCCAATGGGGGGAACCAAATGCACTGCGAGCACCATGTGTGTATTAGACCTTCTCCATAGGAAAGCATTGATTCAGTGCTTTCCTATGGGTTTTTTCAACCTCATTAGAGGCACTTCCTGCAGTTTCACGGAGATTGACTCAGTAAAACGACACTGGACGTCCTCATGTGGAGTCAAACTCCATGAAACTGCAGGAAGCACCTCATGTGTTGTTGAAACCCCCAAAGTAAAGCACTAAATCACTGCTTTACTCTGGGGAATGTAGTATATGAATTTGATAGCAAGTTGACTAGCAAAATCAAATGTATAGCTAAAATACTAATCAATATAATGTAATACTGACATATTGCTATTGCAGTAGCCATTTAATCTAGCAAGGTGGTGTACATGATGTCATTATTCGAGCATGGTGAAAACTCTAATTTACAGACTGATCTCATGGAACATCTGTAGTCTATGATGGCAGAACATTCTCAACCTGTCCATGCTCATTTGGCATATGTGAGACTTGAGTATCTCTGTGCTCTACAATTAAGTTCAAACTGTTACACACATGTGCTGTGATTGGTGATGTGATAGTCACGGTTCACCAAGTTCACTATGAAAGTGAGACTTTGGGTGTGGAAAAAGGTAGTAAACAATATATGATGGAGTGCATGAAATGGAAACTGAAAAATACACAAAGGGTTATATCTTTAAAAAAAACAAGCCATTCTTTCTCCATTTTATTTGATATAACTTACTAGACAAAAAGTTACTAGCACCATCTATCTCAAACCTTTATTGAAGATCTCAGTTTGGCAAAAAGCAGGAGTAGCCATTCTTTGGCACTCCAGATGTTAACTACATCTCCCACAATGCTGGCAAAGCATCAAGGGAGATGTAGTCGACAACAACCCTGGCATAAAGTATTAAACCAGAAGATTTCATCTCCTCACTGGGGCAATTCAATAGGGACCAGAGAGAATCAAAGGAAATGTATAGTGGTATTGCTTATACTTCAAGAATATTGTGAACAAGGCTACAAGCAGTGCAGTGAGCACATAAATATAACTAGCATGACCAGCTCACCCAGCGCATTTGTCCTTATCCAGACTCCACCGATATATGTGGAGAAAGGTAGTACTGTCCTTTTTGCCCTTCTGTTATCAAATATCAGACCTCCCTTCAGCAAACTAAGTCTTTATCTCACCACACCATTGCTACTTCAGTTAAGTTTCTCATTATCTTCTGATCCAGAGTATTACTGTGCAAAAAGTTTGTTTCTTCACATAAATCTCCATCAAGTTCTGATACCCTGAAGCTCTCTGTGTGCTCTGTTAAAATGTTTGAAAATAGTATGAATGGATCACCGTAATCCCCACAGTCTGTTCTCGCTTCAGTCTGCTACTATTAATTTCATAGGAGCATGGATGGCAGGGCTTAATGTAACTGAGCTAGGGACCCAGTGTAAGATAATGTATTTTAGCAATATATTTCTTCTTTAACCATTGATTTGCCAGTGTTTGAGAAAAGAATGACTACTCAGTGGGCCTGTTGGTTACAATTTTTCATTGCATGTAAAGGACCAGGAGTGGATAGGGACATCACTATTATCCCTACTTCACTATCTTTGTTTTTAATGGAAAAGCCTCACGCTTCATTACTCTGGTACTTTCCATAAATTTGGCAATCTCCCCTGTCTGACATTCATACTAATGCCATCAGAAATTTTCTGTATACATTTATAGTTTTGTTTACAGAACATTTTAATGTAATGATGCCTTTTTGTATTTTTTTTTCAATTTTATTTCCAGATAATTCAATGTGTGATTATGCTCTAAAATAGCAAACTTTGAATTTCCTCTGGATGGATTGCTTCTAGTACAGGAGGCTGGGTGACAGATTATCCGATCAGCAACTTGTTATTTAGAATTAAACATCAATTGTTGGTCCTTTTCTCATGTCCAAGGGAGAAATACTGCATGAGCCCAATATGCTGCTTCCTTTGAAGTATATTTATTGTACTTGGGATTTTATGTTGATGTGAAACGGGAAAGGAAGGTTACATTATTATTCAGCTAGTTTTGTACTTTCGTTTTAGAGGTTGTCTTTTCTCCTTGGTTACCCATGTGTTTTGCAGACCGCAAACAAACACCTCATTTGCCCAATATAGACATTTACACATCTTGTAAGATTGTTACAATAAGTGCAAATGGTACGTTATTTGTTTCCCCACTTCCTTTTTTTGCTTTTTGTATATTTATATTTGTTTACCCATCATTTTCTCCAGCAGTTACTAGAGTAAATATATTTGAAACAAAATCTTGACATATGCAGTAGAAATTGCTTGCACGTTTTATACAATATACTCATTGGAGACAACTTTGTAATTGGAGTGTTAAGAGTTGAAACTGGTATTTTTCTTTTTTCCTGTTAATGAGAGCAGATTAAAATTACAATTTGCTTTACTGCCCAGGGGCATTGAGTAGAAGTGGGACTTTCTACACATGGATGGTGCACGTTTACTAAATTTTGTCTGATGCTCTAGAATTACAGTTTACCGAATAAATTGCCTCATCTGAATAAAATTTCTCCAGAGTGCCTGCATACATCTCAGTGTGCGTGTGCAACTGCAAACTCATGGCTTGGTTCTGAACTGCATTGGGGAAAGCCTTTTAAAATTACTCATCCAATGTTACGCTTTTTCTTCTTGAAACCTTGTTTAGTCTATAAATCAATCAATTCTGTTTTCATCCATTTAATTTGAACTTAAAGGATCACTATAGGGTCAGGAACACAAACACGTATTCCTGACTCTATAGTGTTAAAACCACCATCTAGCCCCCCTGGTCCTCCTCATGCCTCCATAAATATAGCAACATCATACTGTATGCAAGCCTGAAGCTGTAACTCTGCATGGTGTTTGACTCAGAATAGTCAAAACCTGTCTGCTGACATTATCATAAGTGGTGGCCTGATCCATCAGAATGCATCCCCATATGAGACTGACAAAGAGGCAGATCAGGGGCAGAGCCAGCATGATTCAAATACAGCCCTGGCCAATCAGCATCTCCTCATAGAGATGAATTGAATTAATGAATCTCTATGAGGAAAGTTCAGTGTCTGCATGCAGAGGGAGGAGATAATGAATGTTTGGATGCATTTTAGGCAGCCATGACCCAGGAAGGATCTCTAGCAGCCATCTGAGGAATGGCCATTGAAGTTATCACTAGGCTGTAATGAAAACATTGCATTTTCTCTGAAAAGACCGTGTTTACAGTTAAAAGCCTGAAGGTAATGATTCTACTCACCAAAACAAATTCAATAAGCTGTAGTTGTTCTGGTGACTATAGTGTCCCTTTCAATGTTATACTCTAAGCCTGCGATGGTGAACCTGTGTGGCATGTTTGCCAGTGTGGACACGCAGAGTCCTCTTTGTTGACACGCAAGCCATAGGTTGACCACATCGCGGGTACTTAAGTGTACCTGCTTGCAACTTTTCGAATGTCTGTACAGCTTCTGATGGATGTGACTGCTCGCATGATTGAGTTGCAAAGCATGGGGCATGTCTCATAATTTTCTCCAGGGAGGAGATGTGTCCTGCTTCATCTTCTGTGCAAATTTAGAGTTTTATTTATTTGGCTCTTTCCAATTGCTATGCACACTGACTGACCGTTATAAGTAGTAGACTTACAGGTCTGTTCACTTAAATGTGAATTACCCATTTACTTTTTAGTAAATAGAACCTTTATTTTAAACAGAGGGTTTTTTTTTATTTATTTTTTTATTTCTTAAATTTATTAGTTGATGGTCACAGTCAGACAGTTGTGTGAAGTAGTTTTAAAAAAACAAAACAAAAAAACCCTTCCAAAACCATTTAATTGCATTGTTGGCACTGGTAATTTATTTGGTTTCGTGTTGCAATTTGGGCACTCTGGCTCAAAAAGGTTTGGAATTACTACTCTGAGCAGTATAATCCCCTCCGCTACTGAAGTGGTTTTGTTGCCTAAAGTATCAGGACAGCGTCCCGTCTTTTATGTCACACTGTTTTAAGTGGTTTGGCAAAACAGGGGCACTTCAAGGAGACAGGAGACTACCCCCTCTTAAACTACATTAAAAAGCATGATTAGTGCCAATTTAGTGTGTGTGTGTGTGTGTGTGTGTTTCTTCTGTAAGCAAATATATTTTTCTCTCCTCCCCCCTCCAAAAAGGGTTAAAATACCCAGTGATAAAGTAAATGAACAATACTTTAGAATATTAAAATGTTTGTTGAAAAGGAATACTTTAGAACCAGTGCTATTCTGCAGAACGGCAATATTTCCATTGCTTGGCTTAAATGCCTCTAGGGTCTGTCAATCAGCCACTGGAGGGGCTTTTTTGACAATCTTTGTTTTATTTTTTCACATAGGAGAGAAATAGAAAAGGAAAACTTAAAGCATGTGTCATAATTTTGGTCATATGTATTATGCATCGGTGGTCTTACTGTTAGTTCAGTGGATACAGGGAGTGATGCGCTTTACAGAGCTTAGTATCTGAGTCGAGCAATATTTCGTGTGCCTCTGATTTGGTCTTGGGCTAAACATTACGGCCATCATTTGGTAGGTGTATTTGGGCTGCAATTGCGTTCAAATTTGTGTTCGGTTGGGGAGGTCGTGGAAAGGGGAGGGGGTAGCTGGGAAGGGTGGCTTTGAGGGATAAGATTGTGGGAAGATGTAGAGGACGCGAGTGTTTGAGAGAGAGGGAAGAGACAGAAAGAAACAAAAGTAAAGGGGGAAGGGGGGAGGGAAGAGTGTGTGGCATAGTCTTGTGGGTGATATGGCTCTCCCCTGCTATGGAAGTCTAGGTGTGTCTCTGCTCTGTCATGGGTTGCCCTCTGGCTGTAAAACTCTATTTCTATTAGGGATCGACCGATTATCGGTTTTACCGATATTCGATATTTTCGGCAATATCGGTATTGGCCAATATAGATACCGATATTGCCGATAATACCTCCTCATTACAAGCCCGGCGGTCCTGGGGGGGGGGGGCTGCAGGTAGCGTTTACTTACCTCCCCTGCAGCTCCTCCAGCTCCCAGCGAGACCCTCGACCGTCAGAGCGCTACCACGGGTTACCATGGCAATGCTCTGCACGGCACTAAGGGCCGCAAGATTTACACTGGGAGCTGGAGGAGCTGCAGGGGAGCTAAGTAAACGCTACCTGTGCCCCCCCAGCTCAGCCAATGCCACTGTCAGGGACTGTCATATCCCCCCTCCCTGACCAGGTAACAAGCAGGGAGGGGGGACAACAAAAATAATAAAACATAAATATTAAAAATAAACATAAATATTAAAAATTAAAATAAACAAATATTAAAAATTAAAATAAAAAAAATACCCCTCCCCCCCATTTTACACAAATCACATCCCTTCAGGAAAACCCACACACACACACTGCATTATATACACACACTACACACTCTGTATATAACGCAGAGTGTGTATATAGTGTAGTGTGTGTGTGTGTGTTTTTAATGCACACACCACACACACTGCATTATGTACACACACACACTACAAACACTGCATCATATATACACACTACATTATATACACACACACACACTACACACTGTATTCATTATATACACACACTATACAGACACTGCATTCGCTATACACACTAAACACTGCATTCACTTTACACACACACACTGCATTCCCTTTATACACCACACACTACACAAACACACACTCTGCATTCATTATATACACACTACACAGTCACTGCATTAACTATACACACTACACAAACACACCCTGCATTCATTATATATACACTACACAAATATACACAGCTCCACTGTCTAAACACACTGCATCCATTGCATGTGGCTTTTATATTTTGCGCATTTACCTTTTAGAAATAATTTATTTTTTCAGAATGGTAATTGTACAGAATATCGGCAAGTTATCAGCTATCGGCCTGAAAGTTAACAAATTATCGGTATCGGCTCTAAAAAATCAATATCGGTCGATCCCTAATTTCTATCAAATAGACTATGTGATTGGTGCAGCATTTTGCAGTGCATATTCACTTGTCTATAGGAAAGCATTGGATTGGCTGACAACATTGATCTTGATAATCTCAGCCAATGATGATCTTGCTGCAGACAGAGACCGGGGACATATATGTCCAACAGGGCACTATAGCGTTCTACATGTTAATAGAGGCAGCTATTACTTTGCCAAATTGTTGTTCTTAATTTATTTCTTGAATGAAAGTGCTCATGTCAGCTAAACTACATATCCTATTATGGAATATGATAGCACTCCACTGACCCTAAAAGAAGGAGCAAGATTGACTAAAAAAAAATCCACTATTTCCTGTTCTCTGTAAACTCTGGAGATTTTCAGGAGAAGTGAGAGGCAGTTGAATCACAGATTTGCCACTAAAATAGCATAGGAACTGTTTTGTCTTGTAAAGAGGCATGTTAACACAAGAGATCAATTTTATGCTCTGTTGATTAAGGTAAATGTCTACTTTCTGCTTTACTTGCTTTGATATAGGCAAAGACCGTTTCTCTCAAGATATGCAGCCAACTGTTTATTTTTTTGGAGGGGGAGGAATGGTTTTTTTCTTCTTCACTTTTTTTTCACAAACAGTCAGACAAATCCTGCTATAATTGCCCATTTTTTTGTGTTACAATGTAATATTATATTATTGGAAGACGAGACCACACCAATGTTAACAAAATGCTTGACTGAATGTAATTGTCATATTTAGATTTTTTTACATCTGCCTTGTCTGATTTTCTAAATACTATCTTAAAAGCCTGCATTAAAAAAATAAAATGTTTTTATACAACGGAGGTACAGGCCGTCAAAATGCGCACACAGACTGCTGAAAGAAATGTAATTGACTTACAAAAAGGACTAAAAGCATTGAGTGACAACAAACAAATACACATACTAGATGACAGGGGCAGGAGAAAGAACATAAAGGTACGGGGAATAGCAGAGACCGTACCCCTAGAAGAATTATCACACTTCAAAAGAAGGTTGGTGGCATCACTACTGCCAGCAAGAGAAGCTAAATACTTCTCCTTTGATGGGGCTTACAGAATAGCCAAATCCCCACGGGCCCCCGCAACTGCACCACGAGACATCATCCTTAGGTGTCAAGCATTGTCCAATAAGTTAAGCCTGCTAGCGGCGATAAAAGGGAAGACGCCATATAACTTTGAGACCTGTAAAATCTCCTTCTTCCAAGATCTTAGTAGAGCTATGCTACAGTGGCGAAAAAACCATGCAGCCCCTCACACAGACCCTACAAAAAGAAGGCCTGAGCTACAGATGGGCGACACCGCAAACACTGTGGGTCACCAAAGACGGAAAGTTCTATAAGGCCTCAGACCCTGCAGACGCTGCCGAACTCCTGGCGGCACTGGACTTACAACCACAATGCAACCCAATTCACGAACTGCCTGAAACACAACCCCGAATGGACATTAACTCGGATACATCCTCACCCAATCACAGAAGAGGCAGGAGGCCAAAGATGTGACCCAACCCACACGCTTGACCATCTCATACGGCAGTGGCAAATACGAGACTTTTTTTTTTTTGTTACAAAATTTTGCACTCTTAACACTACAAGTTTTGTTTAATTTGTCTACTCTTATATGCACTAACGCATAGTCACTTTGCTTTTGTTGAGACATTCAAAGGGTACACACAGCGCTCACACCATGCTTGGGAACTCTTCCCCCAAAAACATGTTGTTACATACAATGTTTACTCATGTATCAGACTAGACTGCATAGAATGTATGTACGTTGCATGCAAATCTGCACCCAAAAAAAAAGTTTTTATATATACAGTAAATACAAATCTGATCACTTATATATATATCTCATTAGATAGTCAAAAAATACTTAACTTTTAACTTTAGCAAGCATCTGTGCTTCTTTTAATTAGTTTGCTTTTCTTTTGCAGTTTAGGGATCAGCTCCACAGAAATGACGGAATATAAACTAGTGGTGGTTGGAGCCGGTGGTGTTGGAAAGAGTGCCTTAACAATTCAGCTGATACAGAACCACTTTGTTGACGAATATGATCCAACTATAGAGGTATGCTTATAATGGACATTCATTGGTTACAAAAGTATGTTTGCATGTAAGACTGTACAGCCGTAATCTGTTATAATGGAATCATGTTTTTGTTTTAAAGGGTCAGTCTAAGCTCCATTAAGCTCTTTGCATACTGGCACTTAGAGCACCTGGAGCCTACTCTCATTTAAGCGAGGCAGCATCTTCCTAAAATAGCTGCTGCTACAAGCTGTCAGCCAAATAAATCGAACAATCTAACATTAACATTAAAGTATTTTTTCATAAAAATAAATAAAACCAACAAAAGAACCATTTAACTAATTTCCCCCCCCAGTATTGATATTGTCTCTGCTCTCCAGACCACCTCTTAGGGGGGATTCAGTTAATCCGGAAGTATTTCAGCAAGCTGAAATGTTTAAGGGAGCCTTGTCCCTTTAATTCTAGAATGTCAGTGTCAATATTTTCCTTATAGTGCATGCAGCACGCACACTCCACATGCTACTTGCCAGAGTATTGTTCCACAGCAGTGTAAACTGCAGCTGCAAAAAAGGCAACTAACCTATCTCTAATAACTGACAATTTTATTATAGTAAATAAAAAAAATTTCACTTAAAATGCTTGACAATGTATTTTTAATTTATCTAATGCATAGAAAAATATGATGTCAGATCAAACTTTATATTAATAAAAAATTTATATATCTAAATATTATAAATGATTAGCTTGTGATTGATTTTGTGAAGTAGACAACTCTAATGAAGGACTGACCAGGAGTAATGCCCAGGGATCAAGAGGGATTTGTCCCTTAAAACAAACTACCCCTCACCAAAAAAAATAATCTGAACTGTTTGCTTATTGTAAATATCTATATCTAACACATGTAACAGTACTGCAAAATTCCTTAGTACTAACAGAGCAGGTTTTTGTAAATACAGGAAATCATTCCAGACTTGTGCGATGCCTGGTTGTTCCAATTTATATTTTCTGAGGTTTCTTATTGGGCAACTGAAGTTGATAAGTGCAAAATTCAGCAATATTGTTTAATGTATGTGTACATTGCCATAGCAACATAGCATCCCTGCCAGCTTCCTGAGAGCAAATGAAAAACTCTGTTTTTGGCATTTACAGTCCACCATGAAAATGTGTCTTCTGTATTTTATAACATAAAATAATTATTATGGTTTAATTTTCACTTCTTGTATAGAAATGTAGAAAATGTGTTCTATCACAGATGGTGAATGCATCCAGATTTCACATGGCAACCTCGATATACACGTTTGTTACTAAATTATTTATAGTTGTTATTGTTCAATCTCTTTAATGGAACACTCCCAGCACCACAACTACTACTGTGCTCTGGCACCCACCCATCCCGATTGAAAGGAGTCATTCCATTTTAGATCAGTTTGACTTCTTACCTGGGACTGCTGGATACCGCTCTCTATCTCAATATACTCTCCCTGAGCTAAGTTCAGCTGTACAGAACCAAATTTGTTGGATGGGAACGACCAGCTGATGTTCTCAGCCAATGAGCTAGTCCTGCATTTGCTTTAGAGAGGTAACAGAAGCTTCTATTTTGGAGATTCCAGCACTCCATGGGAAATATTGGAAGTGGGGATCGGTGCCCTGCAGACCAAAGGTAAGAAGTCAAACCATTCTAAAACAGTTTAATGTCTGAGAGTGAGGTGGGGTACCAGGGCACTCTTAGTACCAAAACAGCTACATCAAGTTGTGGTGAACGTGTAAAATTTGAACAGGGTCAGCTCCTACATCTTTGCCTTTTAGTAGGGCCAGAACGTAAAATTATGTTGTGAAAATTGTAGATGTGCTCTTTAGCAATCCCTGTTTCAGAGGGGTAACATTTCCTTTGCTGTTTGCTTATGGCTCCTATTGATTTTGTTACTGCCACTGGATCACTAGGTGTCTGTTGAACTCTTTCAGTGGTATATAAAACTATATGAATTGTCAGGACTTCACATTGAATTTCAAGCTTTAAGAGAAACTAGCTGAGTTGTATAAGAAATAAAAAAAAATATCCACAAAGTCAGCTATGTTTCCAGTTTGGCTTTTTTAAACTAACGTCAGCTTAGATTTGAATCCCTAACAGTTCACACTTTAGTGAGTAACCCACATAGAGATATATCTGCCTGCTCTCAGATACCCACCAAATCTATACATTTTAATGAACTCCTCACACAAGCACACGTGACTGATTACTAATGCAGGAGAAGTAAACGGGGAACTCTTGCGATATCGTCTACCTGCAGCTCCCAATGAATCATAACAGTTTTAGTCCAACAACAGCTGCAAATGTCCAATCTGCTGCAGTGTTTAAGTAAATTGTCTATTAATGGCAGGTTGGATTTGTACACAGCTACATTTCCGTATCTCCCTGTGTAATGGGAAATCATAATGTTTCCTGTTTAGGAAAATGCTCATAAACAAAAGTGTTATTAAAACATTTACTGAAATACTCAAAGAATATCCAGCCTCTGCCTTTCCATTTCTGAGTGGTGAAGTAGAGGTTATTTATCCATTTTCCATTACTGGATCTTGTTGTCCACATTCATTTATTATTGTGCAGGATTCGTACAGGAAACAGGTCGTGATTGATGGCGAGACATGCTTGCTGGACATCTTAGATACTGCAGGTCAAGAGGAGTACAGTGCCATGCGTGACCAGTACATGAGGACTGGAGAAGGCTTCTTGTGTGTGTTTGCCATCAACAACAGCAAATCATTTGCAGACATTAGCATATACAGGTACTGGATCATGTCTAACACACCTGTACTCATGTATCATGATCTCCCTTAATAATGCCTGGAAATTCTCAATGTAATTAAACTGAAGTACTGCTTTATTATAATAATACAGAAGAGAATAAAGTGGTCTACTTAAATCAATAGTGTTACATTTATTGGACTTTATTTATATACAGTACATTGAGAATGTATCCACACCCCTTCATTTTTTCACTTTTCTTATGCTAGAATTTCAGCTTTATGCTACAATTGTTTAATAGATCTGTAAAATTTCAAAAATCTGTTTTTTTTGTTTTTGTTTTTTTTTTTGCTTTTCCATTATGGGGAAGATTGATGTGGAAAATAAAAAAATAAATAAACAAAACACTGATATATCACATCGACATAAGTATTTAGTTGCAGCACTTGTTGCAGCAATTACAGCCTCAAGTCTTTTTGGGCAGTTTCTGCCATTCATCCCAAGCTATGTCAGGTTGGGGAGACTTTGTGGACAGTCATTTTCAGCTCATAAACTAGCTGGGCCACTTAATCACATTTACAGAGTTGTCACAAAGTCACTCTTGAATTGTGTTTGCTGTGTGCTTAGGGACAGTGTCCTATTGGAAGGTGAACCTTTAACCCAGTCTGAGGTCCTGACCATCCTGGACCAAATTTCCATTAGCAGATCTCTGTATTTTGCATTCATCTTTCCCTCAACTCTTAAGTCTTCCAGTCCCTACTGCTGAAGAACATCCCCGAAGCATGTTGCTACCACAACCACACTTCACATTTGGAATGGTATTACAAAGGTGATAAGCGGTGCCTTGTTTTTCCTGACATGAGCCTTTGAATTGGGTTCATTCTTCATTTTATCAGGACAGGGAATCTTGTAGGTGCCTTTTTGCAAATAGCAAGTGGACTTTTATGTCTTGCAGTGTGCTAGAGCGGCGGAGTTTTGCAATGATGGTAGTCTTTCCGCAAGTTTCTCCCATCCACCACTGAGCTTTTGGTCACCTCTCTTACCTTCTCCCACTGGTTGCTCAGTTTAGCCTGGCCGCAGCTTTAGGAAGAGTTCTTGTTGTTGCATACTTATTTTTTTAAGAATTATGGAGTCCACTGTGTTCTTGGCAACTTTCAATGCAGACAACAACAAAAAATTGTAGTGTTCATCAGATCTGTTCTTTGGAACAATCCTGCCTCTGAGCTCTGCAATCTGGTATTTTGACCCCATGGCTTGTTTTTTGCTTATATGTATTTGCAGCTTATATAGACCACTCTATGCCTTTCAAAACCCTATTCAAGCCATGGCAACAGTCATTCGTAAAATCAGAGATACATATTTAATGGATAAATTTATATTTACCTGCCTTCCAGAAGATGTGGCTCTCTGCTTCAAATGGTTTCCTGGTGCTGATCCCTTCCAGAGAGCCACTTTGTTCTCTTTACATAACCTCATTCTCTTCTTCTCCTCTCTGGTCTTCTGCAGGACGTTTTCTACCTTTCTTGCGAAGCAGATGCAAGATATTGTACAATATTATTTGACCAATTCCATTGTGATGCTATGTTATATTGCACCTGTACTTGAATAAAAAGCTTAGAGAAAAAAAGCACGTTCAAGCAATTGAATTTGCACCAGGTGAACTCCAACTAAAGTAGAAATATCTCAAAGATGATCCAGAAAAATAGTATGCTTCTGAGCTAAATTTCAAGTGTCATAGCAAGGGGTTTATATGTCAATGGCTATTATTATTATTATTATTATATTTATGTAGCGCCAACAAATTCCGTATCGCTTTACAATGGATGGACTAACAAACATGTAAATTTAACCAGATAAGTTTGACGAACAGAAACAGAGCGGTTGAGGGCCCTGCTCAGTGACCTTACATATTTATTTTGTCGGTTTCCTCTTTTGTTTTAACAAAGTTTTTAAAAATGTTGTTTTTTTTTTTTTGCTTTATCATTATGAGGTATTGAGAGTAGATTGATGTGAAAAAAAATATTGAAACAATTGTAGCATAAAGCTGCAACATAAACCATTTGAGAGATTTTTTTTTTTTAATGATTGTAATACTTTCTGAATACACTGTATGTATATTGGCCCTACCCTCTTATCCCGTCTGTTAAATCACATTTGATTTTGTTTTGTGTGTGTGTGTGTGTGTGTAGTGCCCACATGTATCAACTTGCTGTATATGTATATAAACATTTGAATTACTATGACTTTGAAATCTCATCTCCTGTTTTATAGAGAGCAGATAAAGCGTGTGAAAGACTCGGACGATGTCCCCATGGTACTTGTTGGTAACAAATGTGACCTTCCAACAAGAACCGTAGACACAAAACAGGCTCAGGAGCTTGCCAGAAGCTATGGCATCCCATTCATTGAGACCTCTGCAAAAACAAGACAGGTATTGATAATTGTAACAACTAAAACAAATGTACTCAATTGCAATTATTTATATAGAACCTACATAATCCACAGCACTGTACAATAGATAAACCAAGACAAACAATCATGACAAAACATTTTAACATAAAGGAACAGTAGGTGAATAGTGCCCTGTGCAAACAAGCAGACAATCTAAAAGCTGCAGGCCCATTTTTTTTTATTTTTTTTTTGAAGAAAAAAAAAAAAGTTTTGTTTTAAGAGCTTTGTGTTTTGGATATCATGCTTTGTTGTATGTAATATAACTTCAATGGATGTTTTATACCTCGTAGATAATGAATTAACCAGTCAAACCCCAAACATCCATCTAAACACATGTTTTCTCACCGGGTTAATCGCTAACAAGTATTTTTAAGCATTCAAATTAACTTCAACTTTTAGGCCACATTAAATCTTACCTGCAAAAGTCAGCTCTGTTTTTGGACCTGAAATGTAAAATTCAATATGAATTCACTTTGAATTACAAATAATTCGCACTTTAGCGAATAACTGTGCTCCGTTTCTTGCTCCCTGGATAGAGGTGCCTATGACATATATCATAACATACTATTTCCTTGGTGGTTAATCACCAAACTCTAAAATATGGGAAATTGATATCTTAATGGCAGAATTCAGGCTAAAATACGCAAGCTGTGACTATAGAAGTGTTGGAAATCCACTATATTTCCTTAATATTTACCACGCAAACTGCAGTTCAGTGTACTGAATAAAACATCCTTTTGTGTTTTCCTTTGAGTATTTTTGCTTCATTCTACTTTCTCGGTACACAACGCGGAGCATAAAAAACGCTCCTCTGACAAACATGCAGAGAATTTACGAAAACTATTTGTCCTCAGGGTGTTGAGGATGCTTTCTACACATTGGTTCGAGAAATCCATCAATACAGAATGAAAAAACTGGACAGCAGTGAAGACAGCAACCAGGGCTGTATCAGAATGCCCTGCAGTCTAATGTAGCCTGGTAAGTTAGCATTCCCAAATGTTGTAAGGAGAGTGTAATCTGTTTTTTCTCTCTGTGTAGACCAAAACCTTCTAAAGCTTGCAGAAACTCCCAATATGTGGTCATGGTGCCTTTTGTTTTCGTTTGTTTGTTTATCCCCATTACTCTGTTGGATCTTGTCTCCCTACAGATTCAATCATGATACATGTCACCCATCTTCAGTTTACCCTGCAGTCCTATATGTCTCTTTCAGGTCCCTCGCCCGGTTCTCCATTGGGTCTCCAAAATAGTTGATTTCTAAACAGTCATCTGACAAAGAATATTGGGAGCTATAGATCAAAATAAACTGGGGTCCCCAGGTCTTTTTAATAGTTGTCAACTTTCTTGAACAAAGCAATCTTTTGTAACAAGATTTCACGTCTTTGTAGAAAGTATTTTTAGGAGATAATTCTTTCTTTCTAGTATTTTCACTGGTTTGTTTTCTCTCTACAGGCTTTCCTGGAGGGGGATGGAATTAAATAAACTGCACCTTCTACCAAAAACCAAAACAAAGAAACCACTTGCACAAATGCCACCAGAGTTTTTTTTTTTTTTTTTTTATAAATATATATCTATCTATATATATATATAGAGAGAGATTTTTTTTTTTTTTTGTGCAAACATCTTACCTCATCTATTGATGGTTGGATCACTGAACATTTTCTGTGCCCTCCATAACCTTGTGGCTTTACTTGGAATTTATAGATTGCAATTTTTTCTTTATTTTATTTTTTATGCCAAAATGTTCTTTTTAAATTTAACCTTGAATGATGAGACTGACAATAATGGGAAAGTGATTTAGCTATGTGTTTTGGTGAGTTACCGACAATCTGCATCTCAAGGATTTTACAACTTTACTGAACAGTATCTTCTTCCCAGAGGATCATTGCAATTCGTGTTTACTATATCCTGTGTGTTCTCTCAGAAAATTATAGTAAGCACTCTTGCATACTTTAAATATTATTTTGCCTTCCCACTGCAAGGCTGCATCACAATCGATATTGGCTGATCACCTTCCAACTATGAGCCTGCATCACAATGGATATCAGCTAACTATATGATATACAAAAATATGTATTTCCTACCTGAATCTTCAAAACATTTTGTTAAAATGGCAAATGGTTTGGTTGGGGGTATTCCAAATGAAATACTTTAAAAAAAAAAAAAAAAAAAATTATTTTCCATTTTCATTTTTTTTCCTCTCTCGCCCTCTCCCAGCCCCACCTTCCCATTACATTTTAGTGTACACTGGTCCTTAGAGTGGAGTAACACTCTTTAGTTTGGACTAAAGAGGACGATTAAAGTGTTGGAGAAGTAGTAATTACATGCTACACAATTTATGCTGTTTCATAGCAATTCCAAAATGCCTTACCTGTCATAAGGCCAAAACCATTTAAACATCCTGGTGGCCATGAAGCGAATGACAAGAAACATAGACAAATATGTGATATATTGTATATGACAATACCTTTTTCTAGTATGTTTATATGGAAAATGAAAGATGTATTCCTCTTTTGCAAGACAAAAGGGGGTGTTTAGTACTCTTTACATATATAATCTGATTTTATTGTGGGGTTTTGTTTTTCACAAATAGTAAATTAATGGGACACTGCCATGATTTTTTATTATCCTATAATTATATACTTGTTTTAAATGTAAAAAAAATATACATAACCTGACAATAAAACACTGATTGTCACAGCCACACATAACAACTTTAGTTAAAAATGTATATTATTAGTATGCATCCGTGTGCATTTACCTAACCCAACATTAATCATAATCTGTCCTGTTTACTTTGTAAATAACTTGTGTTTAACACAGAATCCTCACGTGTGATGATTTGAGAAAGAAAACAATGATGGTTCATTAATAGATAGTTATAGGGTATTTGTTTTTTCCATACCATGTATATGTACCAGAAGCCATTGAAATTATACCTGTCTAACCTGTTGCAAACATTAAAGGATCACTATAGTGTCCGGAAAACAAACCAGTTTTCCTGGCACTATAGGGTTATTAGGTCCCCCCTTCAGCCACTTACCTTTACCAAGCGCCGGGCTCCCTCGGTGCTGGTGACCTCTCAGACGTCGGCTCCCGTGTGGAGCCGAATGCGCTTTCCTTTGCAAGAGCCGCGCGCGCATTAAAAAAGCCCATAGGAAAGCATTGCTTTTTTTATGGACGTTCTGCATGCTCACTGTGATTTTCGCAGAAGCGGCTGTCAGGAAGACAGCCACTAGAGGCTGAATTAACCCTGCAATGTAAACATATGTTTACATCTGAAGGGTTAAAACCTGGGGGACCTGGCACCCAGACTACTTTATTGAGCTGAAGTGGTCTGGGTGACTATAGTGGTCCTTTAATAAGTGACCTACCTTTTGACACTGCGTGTATGATTTTACCAGCATCCTTCATATAGTATAAAAGTCATTTTAAACCCGCTGTAGGAAGAGTAGAATGTATCTAAGTTAATAAAATAATTCAGATGTCTTACAAAATCTAAACTACTTATTTGTCTTAAATTCAGTAATGCAAATTTTCATGGCAGTGTCCCTTTAATGATGTCTTAACTGTTGCCTTTTAAAACTATATCCTGTGAATTTGGCTTCTGTTTTAGCTCAGTCGGTGTCCTCTTTTTAATTTGGGCTTTCCACAGAAGTCTAAACTGATGAAAATACATTGTGGTCATACTGGGGTCTGTAGTACATTGCAGAGCAGTTTGTTGCTACATCCCACAATAGCAGAGATTTTAATGTTAAAATGTCAATATATTTCAATAGTGTACTGTACCTTGAAGTGGTGGAGTCACATATCAGTGCTAGAGACATTTCTAGGAAACTGGATTTCCTGTGCTCAATCACCTCTATTCTACGGACCAAATTGTGAGTGCAAGCTACAATCCAATATTTGCAACTCAAAGCACAGCCACTTTCCAATGTGCCTGGTATATGTTCTTTCTATGTATTAGAAGTTTCAGTATATTTGTCTTGGCTGCATTGTGTTCTGCTACACCATTTAAGGATTACCAAAAGTATGGTAAACCTTGGCATGTTTATGGTCATTGTAAATGGACAGTGTTAGTCACTAAAGTGAGAATTCAATTTAAAATTTTAGACCAAAGTAGCTGAACTGGAAGTATGGCTGACTCTTTTTTTTTTTCAGTTCTCCTATTTTGGCCTTAATTTAGAAATTCAAATAGCATTTACACATTTGTAAATGGCCCTGTTGGTTATGAGGATTGCTTTTGTTTACTTGGAAACTGTTGTCAAAATACAAACAGCAGCTATAAGAGCATTTTGTAATATTGACAATCGTAGATGTTTAAGGAAAAGTACTGTAAAAGAAGGTTTGTTAATGTGCTTTACAAAAATGTAATTAATGTAACAAATGTAATTAAATTACCATTTTATATTGTCATGTGACAAAGTTAGTTGTACTCGGTTCTTTTAGCTTTATGCTACTAACTAGAAAACCTTATGAAGCATGTTCACCAGTCATTCATTCATCAAATGGTAGTCTATTAATTACAGTATAGAACAATAAGATAAATCGTAGGTTAGTCACAAACACTATTTAATTAAAGGAACACAATAGCATTTTGAATACAAACCTGTATTCCTAATGCTGTAGTGTTTTACTCTTTATTTAGGTTGTTCACCCCTCATCCCCCACAACCTATTCTAAATTAAAAAAAAAAATTGGGCGCTGAGTTCCAGTGCCTGCAGCCTCCTCTCCTGCTACCAGGTACATCATTATGACCCTTCTAACTATCCAATCCAGTTCTTAAAGAGGTGCATTGGGGGCTAAAATGTAATGCGTGATATTGTGGTGCTCCTATTGGAGTGTAGCTGTGAGAACAGAGATTAACTTGGTTCTCACAGCAGAGGCATCTCTAGCGGCCTTTCGCTAGACAGCCACTAGAGGTGTATTTAACCTCAATAAAGTGTTCTGGGTGCAGTGGTCCATTGGTTTTAACTCTGCAATGTAAAGCATTGCTGTTTAGTAGGTATGACCGTGCAGGGTTAAAACTAAAGCACAATGTTATTGAGATGGTCTGGATACCTTTAGTGATCTTTTTAAGGGAACCTATAGTCCCGATAATAATTTAATAATTTCCAGTGCCAGGACTCCTCTGCTGTAGATGCCCACCTTATCTTCCAAATTATTGCTTCAAATAGAGAAACAATGTATTGGAGGTATGCATAAATGGCCAAATGCAACGCTCCTCCAATCAAATGCTGCTATTGGTAACATTTTAATACGACACTGGGTTTTACATCAAACTGTGACTCTATTGGGGTTACCTACAAATGTAAATTGTTGGGAATTCAATCAATTCCAGATTTTAGACCAAAACAGAAGCATTGGAAACATTTTCTAAGTCCGCTATGTTTCCATTTTGGTTATTTTGGCTTACCAACAGAAATTCAATTTGAATTCAAACAATTCGCACTGTAGCAAATAAGCCTATATCTATACATGATATCAGATGGTCATGTAACAAACCAGGACTACAGAAAATATGTTTAAAATGGCATGCCTGATATATCGCTAGCACAGTGTATAGATAGTTAGTATTTATTCTTTGCATTCACATTGTAAACAATGGTCATGTGACACCTCCTGTACAGCTATGAAGTTGCCATCTTTTGGTTTAGTTGATCAGAATTGGCAGAATGCTACTGCAAGTGGTCATGGTGCACCTCTGCTGCCAAAGGTGTGTAACTCTACTTCTGGCAGCATCATAGAGGCCGTATTAGCTTGCCTAAGTTTCGGGTGGCTAATGTTAATTCTGTGCAAAATGGATGTCTCTAGACTGCTTTGATAGCCATTTGGTGCCTTAAAATTCAGTAAATGTGCATTTTGAGTCAATTGTTGGCTACTGCTTTTTAGACCTTTTTGTACATATCCATTTACCCTCTCAATTGTCTTGTGCGTGTTCAAATCTGACAGTGACATACTAGCAACTATTTATAATAATTATCACCAGATTGGTCTTATTGGAATCTGACAATGACCATAACGTGCCAAAGAAATGGCGTGGTTGAAAGTGTAAAAGTGTAATTTCGGAAAATGCCAATAATCTGAAAACCAAAGTCAGTGACATTAAGTATTTCATTTCTCTAATACAACTGTGAGTTTTATTGTGTGAAATTATTGCAATAAACAGATTTTAAATCAATTGTTTCATTTATTTTTGTCAAATGCTCCTAAGTTTTTAACTTTTTAAATGTGAATATAAACAAGTTTTTTTTTTTTTGTTTTTTTCCAAATAAGTGAGGACACAGAGGGAGTCCCATCCAGGGATAATATCAGGGGCGTTGAACAGAAGGCATTCCAGACTTGTGTATCTAGCCCAAACGGGTTTTCAACGAAGAGGAAATGTGTGGGGAACGTGCCACTCCCTTTGTGTCATTAAAAAACTTCCCTGCTTATTCACCAAACACTGAATTATTTTCCCCAAATTTTAAACAGAATGGCAATTCTCATATCTGCTAAAGCCAATTCTGATTGGAATTTGGGCATCCTGACTGAATCTGCATCATTTGACCCGATGCATTCAGTGGAAGTGCCAAGAGCTCAAGAATAAAGATGGCAGTGCCTGTGGGGGACAGCATCAGGTAAGCATACTTCACCTGCCCTGCAGACATAGGCCATTGCACACCAAGCAGCAATGTCGCCTTTGGGGTGTTTGCAAAATATGCAAAGACTGCAGTAGTTGACAACTAGTAGTAGACATTTGTCTAATAGGGTGTATGAAACATTTGTTTATATACTGTGGATCTGCCAAGGTGGTCTCTTGCATTATCAGAATATATGTGGAAAAAAATATAATAAGTAATTTTAAAAAAAGGCAAAGCCAGCACAGGTGTTTACTTGGCTCAGGCACTAGCCTATGGCTACTCCACACTTTATTTTTTATTGTAAAAGGACAGCAGAAACATTCAAATGATGTTTTATGATGTATCTCACCTGCAAACATAACCTTGAAGTCTGTTTATGATGGATTAAATTGATTTAGTGAAGGATATCTTATGGTGGTCTTACAGGCTTTCCCTAGTGATGCACTGTGATTGGCAAACTTTATATACATCCAGTAGCATTACAAAATAGGCACCTATGTGCTTTAATGGTTTAACTCCATGGTTTCCAAACCAGTCTTCATGGCATGCTTACCACTCCAGGATTTAGGGATTACCCAGTTTTGTCAAGGTGTTCATTTATTTCTTTCTAAACACACCTTAGACACAACTGATTAAGGACTGATTTGGAAACCAATGGTTTAATTGATCAAATGTAGCCTGATTTTGAGTTTAGCAAGCATCTACCAGCCATGTGGTCAAATGGAGACCCTAGAACAGGGGTAGGCAACCTTCAGCACTCCAAATGTACACTACATCATCCATAATGCTGACAAAGCATCATGGGGAGGATATAGTTAACATATGGAGTTCCAAAGGTTGCCAGTTACCAATACGCATAAAAAGCCATGAAACCATAAAAAGATTGATGTGGTAAATATTTATATGATGAGGCTGGAAGGAAGGAATATTGGATTTGCACAATGTGCACACTGATATTTCTTTTACTCTTGACGTGAACCACAGGGTTCATTACGAACATCTTCCGTTTTGATTCTTCAATACTCAACACCATTTTAAAAACTACTAAACAGACAATGATCAAAGATCCTTCATATTCACACTGCTACCTATTCTAAACTATAGATATAGTCAAAATAATAGTTATAGCAGAAAGTGCAGAGTAATAGCTCAGTGATCATGACTCCATCAAAGTGTCTTCCATCCTTTCAAGGTCAATAAAATATGTATCATTAAGTTGTGTGATAACATTTAGATGCCATGAAATAATAAAAAGAAAACGGTGATTGCTAAATGTACCTTTCCTGGTTATGCACATTGATATTATTTGATTCCGAAACTCTGTTCCCATTTCAGTGGAGACTCCTATGCCAGGGTCCCAGAGATGGTCTTCCCATTGCCTTATTGCCATCTTCCTGGGAAAGACTGTAGGACAGTGCTCAAAATTTTCACTAGCTATCGACGAGTGAATATTCATGGCCTGATGAGGGTACAATAGAACCTCCCAGCTTGCAGAAGCTAGTAACATTAAGGACTGGCTAGTGGTGTAGGAGCTCTATGTGAATAGGCTTGGCTGCTAGCTTCTTGCCCTATGCTATGTGTATATGTTTATACAGAGACTTGAACTAACATCTGTGACCCGGACCCCAGATCCTATAGCTGCCTGTCAAAAATGATTTAAAGTTGTTGAAAAGCCTCCTCCTGTTTTATGTTGCTTTTAAAAGGACATGCCACTATTAAAGACAAGTTCAAAAGGGCTTCCTGTCCTTCTCTTAAATTCCCAGTGAGGTCCACATGCCTTTGCCCCCACCCCAATATTGTGTGAACATTTTATTGAATGTAAATTCCCGGATCAGTATGTGTTTTAAACGTATTATGTTTTACATGGAAATGGCATTTTCACAATGACCCAGCAATTCACAATTATGAAAGGTTGTGATCTGAAGGATGGTGTGACATAATAAGACAATTCATCAGGGACGTAAAATCAAGACCGGTATTCTCCAGTGCCTGTCTCTATGGTCCCGAGCTGACAGGTATAGCTGTCAAAGAAGGATTCTAGGAATTCAGAAGTACCAGATAAAACTAGCAAGCACCAGTATGTTTCTTCAGGAGTTGATGCACTGAATTTGATGGAAAGCAAGAATACTTAAATGTAGACCGAGATATGCCTTCATGGTCTCTAGGAAAAATGGTGGTGAGTGGAATTGTTATTATGGATTGAGTCCAAAGACAGAGGGAATAAAGGCACTTTTTAGAACCTGTGTGCCATAGGTGTTTTGCGATGGGGACATTTGGGGTTGTAGCCCCACATCAACATTTCACTACTGTGCAAAATAAAGGTGCTCAGTCAAAATAAATGAATGAAAGAAGTTTACTAATAAAGCATGCAGACTGACCTCTTGGGCACATTAGTCAGCGATCTACCCAACTAGAAATTCATAATTTCATGCAGTTAACATTCCAGAGATAGGTTGAAGGGCACCTGCAACCAATCGCACCATAGGACACTCAGCTTCTGGCATCACAAACTGTAAATGAGGGAGAATAGCAATGCATGTGTCTGTTTAGGCTCCACTCCAATGTTTTTAGTCACCATTTTTCCATGCTGTGATGGTCTTGCCATAGCTGGCCCTGCTTCCATAAGATAATCAACATACACTGTGCAGCACTAGACTATGAAGTACCCCTAATGTCTGTCTCTTAGATTCAAAGTAAATTTTTCAAAACCCTGGACCACAGCCCCTAACCCTCTTCTGCACCAACTACAACCCATATCCATCCCCTGCATCCACTAAAGCTCCTATCCTTTCACGTCACCCAATACAGCCCCTTATGCCTTCCTGCATCAACTACTGTCCCTATTCCTCCCTAGGAACCACTAGAGCCCCTATCCCTTTCTTGCATCCACTACAGCCTGTCTACCCCAACCTGCACCCACTACAGCCTCAATCCTTCTGCTGCGCCAACTACAGCACTTATCTCCATGCCACCCACTACAGCCCCTATTCCTCACCTGCACAAACTACTTCCCCTATTACTCACCTGCTACATTGCATATTTTTACAAGAACCCACTACAGCTCATGTCTCCCCTGCACCTGTATAGTTTTTATGCCCTCCTACACTCACTATAGAGGCGCTATCCTCTGCACCCTCTTCAGCCCCTGTGCCCCTCTAGCATCCACGACAGCCTCTATCCCTCCCCTGCCTTCGCATCAGCCATATTCCCTCCCTGCACCCACTATAGCCACTATCCCCATGTACACACGCTACATTCCCTATCCTTCTCACACATACATGCTGCAGCCTCTATATCCCCTACACACAGTAGAGCCCCTATCAGCCATACAAGCACAGCCATACAAAATCTATTCTTTGTTTATGTTGAAGCCCTATGAGTGGTTTCTTTCATGTTTGAGTAATAGTTTTCGATTTTAAGGTGTTTTTTTTTTTTTTCGCCTCTATATCTGCACATTATGGAGGCTGGTATAGACTTTTTTCCAGAGATGTTTTTTATTCCTAGTCCAGCCTTGCAAACATTCCCATCCACACACTCAAACCCTCAAGCATCCTCACTCTATGCACACATATCACCAGCATCATCCCCACACATGGAATACTGCAGATAGCCTTCATACACACGCACACAAAATTATTACAATAACTTATTTAGCCCCAACAAATTCTGCAGCTCTGTTTAATAGGTAATCATGTGTTTGAATTTGTTTGGAGGGATTGTGTGTGGGGGTAGGGGGGCAGATTAGGAAATAACAGCCCTCCCTTCTTACCTTTTGCCTGGGAGGGGGGATCCTTGCTGCCATCCCTGATCCCTGGTGGTCCTAGTGTGAGTGCAATCTTTGACACACAGCGCGGGCCACACAGATTAGGGTACACTGGGCACACCCCGTGCGGACGCCTATGTAGGTAATACGAAGCACATAGCAAATTATTAATTCTAACACAACACTTTTGACATACAGGAACACAACATCACAAGCAGCAACCCCCCTCCACACACAACCCACAAGTAGCCTCCAGAAGCATACAACACCACATGCAGCCTCCATACAAATACACAACATCCTTATCCTCTCCCTCTCAGGCATCAGAGGACAAAAGAGGGACAGGGCTGGAGGAAGGTAGTGCATGAGTGTGTGTGGAGGTTCTGTTCGGTGTTGAATGTGTTTAGAGGCTACTTGTGGGGTTGCACATGTGGGGGGCACTGCTTGTGATGTCACCAGCAAACACATGCCATTAAATTGCTTTATTTCTTTAGTTTAACAATAGGAGGGAGGCATGTCAGCAAAGAATACACTATATTTGGTTGAAATAACCCCTTAAAATGAAATCTGGCCTTGTTTGGGGGGCCCTGTGGCTCTCACACAGTCTTTGTGGGTGCTGGGCAATACAATCATAACATTTGAGTGAGAGATGCCCAAAGAAGGGGGAGAAGAGTAGTAGCAGCCAAAAATTCTTGCACCAGGAGGGGGGCATTGATCCCCCACTGCCCAGGGGCCTGTGAGCTGTCAGTCTGCCCATGTTATATTGTAATTCTCAGCCACTTAATACATATCATT